TTGTATGTAGTAAGGGGTGTACTCGGCTGCCTCTCAACATACTATAGCTTAACATTACTTCCTCTCATCATACTATAGCTTAACATTACTTCCTCTCATCATACTATAGCTTAACATTACTTCCTCTCAACTTACTATAGCTTAACATTACTTCCTCTCAACATACTATAGCTTAACATTACTTCCTCTCAACATACTATAGCTTAACATTACTTCCTCTCAACATACTATAGCTTAACATTACTTCCTCTCAACATACTATAGCTTAACATTACTTCCTCTCAACATACTATAGCTTAACATTACTTCCTCTCAACATACTATAGCTTAACATTACTTCCTCTCATCATACTATAGCTTAACATTACTTCCTCTCAACTTACTATAGCTTAACATTACTTCCTCTCAACATACTATAGCTTAACATTACTTCCTCTCAACATACTATAGCTTAACATTACTTCCTCTCATCATACTATAGCTTAACATTACTGCCTCTCATATCATAGAACGCTTCTTTAAACATATATGGCTTCCTTATACTAATTTACATACTGTTTTATGCTGTATAATAATTTCATGTGGAAGGATGTAAATCAGTTTGATTGGTCAGATTCGCTTTATCTTCTATGTTAAGTTGAGGATGTGTGTGTGTGTTTGTGTAGTGTGTGTGTGTGTGTGTATCAGGTTATGTTAGTGCACGTGTCTGTGTATTAGTGTGTGTATGTGTATTTAAGGGTGTCCGTGTGTGTGTGTGTGTGTGTGTTATCATAGCCTTTTCCTGTCGCGTTCCACACTTGTCTTGCATCACCCCCCCCTCCCTCTTGCATCACCCCCCCTGTTATTTCTTCATTCCTTTGTGGCTTCTGTTATCCTCTGATCCACTAGACACAAAGGAGGAAGAGGAGTAAAAGGTGATAAATGGATAGATAGAGATAGAGATGGATAGAAATACAGATAGATGCATAGGAAGACATGGATAGAGTGGAAGACATGGATAGATTGGTAGATAAATAGATTGAGAGATATATAGGACACATATATTGTAGACTGATAGATAGAGCGATGGATAAGTAGATAGACAGATAGATTGATAGACAGACATAGATTGGTATATGCAAAGGACACATATACAATGTACACAGTAGATTGGTAGATAAATAGACAAAGATAGATTTGAAGATGGATAGATAGATAGAGATATATATTGTTAGATGAATAGATAGTTAGATAAACACATGGACAGATAAATAGACAAACAAACATACAGATAGACGTGGATAAACAGACAGACAGATAGATAGATAAATGCACAGACAGACGGAAAGACAGACGAACAGACAGACGGACAGACAGACGAACAGACAGACGGATAGCAAGAAATTAAATTCAAAGTGTAAATCTGATCTGATTATCTGAAGATTAACCTAATCTAACCTAACTTATCCTAGGATGGGTTAGGTTAGGTTATTTCAACAGGGAGAATATAATGACTTTTGTGGTAGGTTAGGTTAGGTTATGTTTGGTTATGGTAGGTTAGGTTAAGTTTGTTAGGTTAAGTTATGTTTGATTAAGTTAAGTCAGGTTACGTTAGTTAGGTTAGGTTAGGTTTGTTAGGTTAAGTTATGTTTGATTAAGTTAAGTCAGGTTACGTTAGTTAGGTTAGGTTAGGTTAAAAGCCATTGGTAAGATATGATAAATATTGAATGTTGTTTTGTCGTGTTCAACTTTTTAAATTAATTCTGACTCTTTTAATCGGATATTACAATCATGTCTGTATAAAATCCGTGAAGGTACTGCCTGTCTGAATGTAGTGCTTTCATCTGTACTTCTTTCATTATGGAGTGAATGAATAGTCTAGATTCACTGCTTTCATTATGGGTTTGAGTGATATTTTACGTTTACTTCCTTCAATTTGCTTCTTGTGGGGTTGATTGAAGGCAGGTCTAAATACACTTCTTTCATCTGTCATTCATTCATTATGGGCTGTGGGGTTAAAAAGAAATCAGTCATACATACACACACTTTCGTCACTGCTCCTTCTTTCATTGTTGGTTGAAAGAAAGAAGATACGAACCACACTTCTTTCACTGCTCATTCTTTCCTAGTGACTGAGTGAAGACATACCTACACGATCATCACCACCACTACCATCACCACCACCACCACCATTATCATCATCATCATCATCATCATCATCATGACAAAGAAACCACTACCACACCCCCCCTCGAGTTATTGCTCAACCTTGCCCACTATACTGTACCCTCTTCCTCCTCAAGTACATGTTATCTCAAGTTCTTCTTTATATCTCTAATTTATTCTGCTTATTTTGCTTCTCCTCTTTCATTATTTTCTCTAGTTACTTTGTGTTTTACTTTCGTCTTGTTCTTGTTCTTCTTGTTGTTGTTCTTCTTCTTGTTCTTCTTCTCCATATTTCATCAACACATTTAATCCTTCATTATTTTACTTTTCCTGTTTCCCCTCTTCTTATTTCTTCAAGTTCTTCTTATCCATTTATCACTTTACTACTCCTTTCCCGTCTCTCTCTCTCTCTCTCTCTCTCGTTCTTCAGCCATTCAACTGTCTCCCGGAGGCCCCCCCCCACCTCACTTCTTCTTCCTTCGCCTCCTTTCTTCTAAGATCTCCCTTTTCACCCTCTCTCTCCTCCTCCTCCTCCATGATCTCCTTCTCTTATCACCCCTCCTCCAGCATCTCCAGGTCCTTTGTCCCTCCCCCTCCTCCTCCAAATTTTTCATCTCTTATAATTCCCCTCTCCTCTTCCTCCATGATCCTCCCTCTCTTCTTTCTCTTCTTCTTCCTCCCCCTTTTTCTTTTCTCCTCTCCTTCTTCTTCTTACTCCCTCCCCTCTTCTTCTTCCTTCTTCCTCCTTTTTTTCCTCCTTCGTACAGATCCACATTACCACTTTGTATTGTAATTAGTCTTCCCCTCTGACTACCTTCCATACATTAACAATGGTCTGAGGCCCCTAACAGCGCCGCACTACGGGCAGAAGGAGGGGAACCATTCGTCTGGCGTAGTTTCCGTATAGTTGCCTGGCACTGCTGATTGCCAGGCGCTGCTGATTGTTCGTTCTGGCAGTGTTTTTGCGGTCGGGGTCTTGCAGGGACCTGTAACATGTAATTCTCCTCATCGTCTCTACACACACACGATAATGTTTACCGTCGGCAACAGTAGACGTGTCGGTTCAGGATACTTTAGTTAACCTAACCTGACCTGAACGTTTCCTAACACAATCTAATCTAATCCAACATAAAAACTTCCAAGATCGAAACGGCCATCATTGAAAGCATCCTCGGCGTGAGTATGACAGACGAAACTATATGCATCTGCACCATTCTACGTTAAACCGTTAAAGAAGCGAATGTTTTAGTAGATAAAGACATCGTGTATCAATGAAGAGCTGAGAATGAATGTTGCAAAGCCAGCAGCCCGCTTGTGTTAGTGTAGTAGAGTGTTGTACAAACAATTGAAGGTCTGAATACACACACCCGAAGGCCTCCTCCAGAAGGGACATGAGTAAACAAAACGTTGGCGGCTGAAACGTTGAACAGGTTAAAAACGTCCTTGTCCGTAACGAGCGGCCGGTCACCTTCTCGGACCACTCCTGCCCGGGGCTCAGTGATCCATCTTCCTTTTAGCACCTTGTCAGAGAGTGTGTGTGTCCGTGATAAAGATGCAGCAGCCACTACCTGACACAAGTGATGATGGATGCTCACATAAGCCTTCACTAATGGCGCTACACACTACGCTTATTAGTACTCATAATGAAAAGCATATTTGAAAATTAGACGTACAGCTCAAAGGATAGACAGTATATTTTTTTTCGAATGCTTTAACGGTGGTGTTTGACGGCGTCTCCTGTCAACAAGAGTTCGAATGCTTGTGGAAAACTGATTATAATAGGGGGGATGTGAACAGGTGAATGAGTGTGAGTAGAGGTAGGTAGATGTTGTACAGCCAAGGCATGTACACTCCCAGGGTCCTTGCGGGGTCTCGAGTAGGTGAGAAGGGTTCCAACGATAGTACTGAGACAAACGACCTCATAAATGCCGCTTTTGGTTGACACTACCAAGGAACAACATTCTTTAAGATTCTTCAATTTGAAATTCAACACTATCGTTTGGATACTGAGTAGCCTTCATAACCTCCTTTTTCTATATAAATGAATTTAAACGTCTGTCTTTTGGGTTCAAAGCATCCTACATAACCTTTTTTATAATGTAAAAATAACTTGAAACAACAATCCATATTTGGGATAAACAATTCTACGAGGAACTTGGTAAGCGGATTCACTTCAAAGTGAGGTCCTCCGCGAACGCCTCACGAATCCACAATGGATCATGTGAAAGTTGGTCAGAAGCACTTCACATGCGGGTACGGGAGCCTCAGTCTCTACGATACATTATAACGAGCTCCACTTTTTTCTATCCCCTCTACCGCACTCCCAGCTCCACTCCCCTTCTTATTTCTTTTTTATAAACCTTTTTATTGAAAAACATATCTGTTCTAGATGTTTCCTAACCATACGCGGTGAACTTTCCCGGGAGAAACAGACACCCCGCGTATATAAATGGTACTAAAATTGTTAGGTGGATGACAGTAAGATTAATGGTTGAGAAATATGGAAAGAATGCGATGTAAACAAACGGTGCCGTGATGAGGTCCTTTACTTCCGAGTTAGAAGATCCTTCATGAAGGTACGGGACTTGTGGTGGGAAAAATGTCGTACGCCACGATGACTCATGTATAACTCACAAGTAGCCAAGTATACGATGATATTATATGCCAATTCGAAGTTTGGATTGCATATTATTACAATTTAGTACAATAACATTCAAATTATTGGGGAAATAGTTATAAAATATTTGGGAACTGAAATACGCCCGATGAGTTTTCAAGTGTTGGCAGCCCTGCCGTGACGTAGTACTCGAGCGGTTTGCGGCGAAGGCGCCAGAAACTCCTCAGTTTGAGTGAAATTGTGGTGGGGAGAGGACGTACTCGTTCATCCCCGAGTGATACATCATGGAGCTTTCTTTAGTGGGTGATAGGGTTTATGCCGCAGAATGCATACAGAAGAAAAGAGTGAGGAGGGTACGTGTAGTTTATTAAGAGTAAAACGCCTGAAATACTAATGAAAAGTGAAAAATAACGCGGTACTAAGCGACTCAACTCATTTGTTTTGGTTTCCGTTGCAGGGACGTGTGGAGTATTTGGTCAAATGGAAGGGCTGGTCTAACAAGTAAGTAAATCATTGACATCCATTTTGTTCATATATAAATGTCAAAAACCTCACGTATGCCCTCTGACAGGGATCTAACGCTGCTGTATGTTGTGTTTCAGACACAACACATGGGAGCCGATTGAAAACATCTTGGACGTGCGCCTGCTAGAGGCCTTCGAGGAGAGGTAGGTAGCGCATGCGTTCCCCTCCAGTGCGTGCGTGTGTAGCGGCTTCCACACCCGGTAACACCAGTTGTCGCTACATGTGTGTGATAGGAGGAAATATTGTTGCCTTGAGCAAGGTTAGGTATGATTGATGTGTGGGTGTGGGAGAGAATGGTGGTGAGATGATGTATTCTTGAAATGTGTCTGTAAGAGAGAGCTTTCAAAGGTTCAGAATGGGAAATATGTACGAGTTTTTGCTTCTTGAACCCTACTGCTTGAGAGATGTTTACTTTGCATTGATGTGTTGTATACGTATAAATTGGACATGTCATGAGGCCAACACTACTACTGTGATTTTTTCTCAAGCAGAGGCCTGTCAAGTTGATAAAGGAATCTTTATACATGCCTTCCAGTACTTTAGAGTTTTGTTTGTGCCCACGATTGTAAATACAGTCGTGCTCGTCAAAGTATCTATCAAGTAAGATCCATTGACTCATCCTTTGCACATTAATGTCCCTCAAAAACAGCATTCTCTGTTTTATGATTCTATTAGAGTGTTTGGAACGTCATTGATTGTATACGACAAGATACTGCTTACATGTCAATGGCAGGAATGACACTGTCCTGTTTATCTTCCCACATTATGATGTCAAAACGTGTTCCCTGTAGAGTGGATGTTGGTGAATTGAACTGTAAGTCAGGATACGTTAGCATTTATTCTTCCACGATTTGAATACCGAGTAGTTGCTCACCCCTCGAAAGATTATTGATTATGTGATCCTCCTCCCTTACGACATTCGCCTGGTTCATCTTCCCTTGATGGGATATTGACTAATTGTGCAGGACGCATAGGAGGTTTCTTAATAAATCTCCCGACTACATATTGAATGAGAAGTCTCGCTGTCTAGTATGTCGTTATCTTTCTTCAATGTGCAGATTTTGTCCAGGTTACCAATTATTCTTAGTTGAACATTTCGTAGGGAACCGATATATATGGCATATGCCCATCTTGGTTCCTCTTTGTAGTAAGACTTTGTACAGTTTTTTTATATACATCTTAACTGTTTAAACATATAGCTATAGACACTGATTACAAACTGACGACAGTATACAGACACCACTAAAGATAAATAAACCCCGTGCATTACAGTAGTTTGTAGCAAACCATATTCTTATACCATACATTGATGCCACGTGTATTCCACCATGTGATACCGAGATTGAATATTTTTTAAGTTACTGGCGACTCCCTTCGTTTGTGGTAAGAAGTGCCTCTTGTGTTATGGCAACGTTTAGCTGAACAGTGTATTTGCATGCAACGGTAAACGATGATTTCATTCAAGTCTGGAGTTACTGATGGTAGCGTAACCCGCCCCCTTTCTCCCCACGACTCTTCGTCTCCTCCCCTCAACCCTCCGTCGTCTCTATCCTTCCCTCAACCACTTCATTGTCTCCTCAATCCTCCATCGTCTTCTCCCTCCTCAACCCTTCATCGTCTCTTCCCTCCATTGTATCCTTCCTCCATCATCCTCATCCTTCGTCTCTTTTCCTCACTGCGACTCAGGCTTCCTCCTCCTCTTTCCACTTGTACCCCTTCCATTAAGCCCTTCATTCAGGGAGCTGTTGCGTCAGTCCTCATCTGTGTAGTAATGATAATATTACGCTTGTGTTGGCTAAATCACCTTTATTGCCGTGGATGACATCTCCCTCTTCTTCTCTGACGTCTTCATCACGGCTTGTATGGATGAGAGGAGTGAGGGGGAAGACTCGTGTACATCTGGGGGTTCATTTGTTCGTTTATTACTAGACATTAGTTCAGGTTTAGACAATTGTATCTTCTCGCAAGTGATTCAAGGACGCTGTTTAGGACAAATAATTAAGGTTTAATAACAATTTAAACTTAGTGAATTTCAAAATTAGTATGTGTGTAACAGTGTTCAGGTGAATTTAATAGTAGAAAATTACATCACGTGTCAACCTAATAGACAGTACGTGTAGCCACGACGTCCTCACACATGAATTGCCAGAGGGTAATGTGTCGGGATGTTCTCTACGATGTGAGTGTTGTATATATGAAGTTGTCACATAACGAATGTACGGTGATGGTGAGTCGTCGTCACACTACGGGCTTTCGACCTGGCCTTGATTCCGAGGCCTGTTTTTCTGTCAAACCAAGCGTCCTTGATGACAATACTGTTGCTGTTTGCCGCCACCAGGTCCAGGCCAGCATATTTATTACAGCCTGTTTGACCAGGTACAGTATATGATTAAACAACTCTTCTGGTTCTCCTGAAATGTTCACAGATTGTCTTGTGTTCTTGCATTTTCGAGCAACACGTAGAAAAGTGTCAGAACGCCATGTTGACTAACACAGCTACAAATTCATCAACAAGAAGATGAACCAAGCGTAACTGAGGTAAACTCCGGGTGGCTTTGTGAGTAAATCAGGAGCGCCAAGGTGAATCAGGGTTGTATAATACCACAGTTATGGCGTCGGTTACAGCCCGGGTGATTTATGGTTGTTGATAGGTGTGCTGGTGGAGGGTTGTGTGGGGGTAATGAGGCAAGAGTGTCAAGTTTATCTTGTGTTAGTAGCGAGCTGACGAGGGTATCCTACAGCGGCGTATATGAAGACGGATGGTTCAGGGGAAGGTGCGTATATCAAGACTAATTGTACAGAACACAGGGTATTAGAGAAGCTCAAGTAAATTATCATTTGGTTTCATAGGTGCGTATATGAAGACAGATTGTTGGGAAGATGCATAAATATATCAAGATAATTGTACAGGACACAGGCGTATCTTAAGGATGTAAGTAAATTATCACCTGTTGTCGGAGTTACATTTATGAAGATAGATTGTTGGAGGGGGTGTGTGTGTGTGTGTCAAAACATGTGCAAACTCGCGATGTCTTTGGGGAAACATGCGTATATTGTCCAGTGTGTACTATTAAAGGTTGTAATAATGTATAGCAGACGCTCACCGTGTATCAAGAGTGAATGAACATATATAACGCATATATTTCAGTCGTATATTGATTTTTTTTTCATGATGCGTAAGGTCACCTAGAGAATACACTCCACCTGATTGAACACCGTAACAATAACCTAACCCCCCCCCCCCCGGAGGTAGCATTAGGGTGTTTAATCATGAGTTGATATAAGCTGGTATGTTGCATGGGTGGTGATTATTGGTACACAACAGGGGCGTATCTGGAATAAGCACACATAAACATTTACTATGAATGAATGCTGTAGGTATGTGGGATGTCTTTGCCATGACAGCCTGGATTCAAGTGTGTGTGTGTATTATGAAAACATTATATATATATATATATACCTAATACTTAAAGAAATTATGTAGCTATATTACATTATACATCATAAGGTCGAGAGCATTATATAAACTACTGGTAATATATTAAAGATCCCAGCCATGTAGTGTAGACATTAAAACCCCTAAGTAATTATAATGAATGGGTCTACTTACAGTATTTTGAGTAAGCATGTATATCAACACCCCGAGTTTTGCTGGAGGTAGGTAACTTAAGAGGTGCGTATATGAAGAGATATTGTTGGGTGGGAGATGCTTAAATGAAGATAAGTTGTGCAAAGTACTGGTTTACGTTGAAGGAGCTTATTGCAATGTATTATATTATGGTGTCAAGAGGTATTTACACGGAAGAGAGATATATTACAAGGGGTAGCTGGGGAAGATGAGGCAACGTGGGTCAGCATTTGGTGGTGTCGAACAAAGGTAAGGTATGTCTTTTTATAAGCCTGTGCTAGTAGGATCTTGGAGGTCTGTACTAGTTGGGTCTTGGAGGTCTGTACTAGTAGGGTCTTGGAGGTCTGTACTAGTAGGATCTTATAAGCCTGTGCTGGTAGGATCTTGGAGGTCTGTACTAATAGGGTCTTGGAGGTCTGGACTAGTAGCATCTTATAAGCCTGTACTAGTTGGGTCTTGGAGGTCTGTACTAGTTGGGTCTTGGAGGTCTGTACTAATAGGGTCTTGGAGGTCTGTACTAGTAGGATCTTATAAGTCTGTACTAGTTGGGTCTTGGAGGTCTGTACTAATAGGGTCTTGGAGGTCTGTACTAATAGGGTCTTATAAGCCTGTACTAGTTGGGTCTTGGAGGTCTGTACTAGTTGGGTCTTGGAGGTCTGTATTAGTAGGGTCTTGGAGGTCTGTACTAGTTGGGTCTTGGAGGTCTGTCTGTAATGAAAGATGCGTATATGAAGAATAAGTTAGGAGGTGCGTATATAAAGGCAGATAGAGGAAAGATGCGTAGCTACTGGGTAATTTAGTGAACAAAGTCGCCCCTTGGTGTCTTAAAGAGTTGCGTATAGGAAAGTGTGGGTGCTGGGGAAATTAGATACGGTGAGATATTATACAGTACTAGCATGACACTGGATTTGGAGGACGTATGTGTTAACTCAGCTTTATTTTATTTACATTTGTTGTATCACTGGACGAGCTTGAGTCATGAACCAAAGTTAAGAATGGAAACTTACATTGAAAACAACGAGACCGAAGGAAATTGTGTTTATTGAATGTTTACATGAACCCCACCACTAGGAAAGCGTATCCTGTTTCTTAAGTGAAGACAAACTAATTTAAGAGTTTTACGTACCGGTATACTGTATAGGTTAACGAGTCTCCAGTTGGTGAGTATGTGAACACCGTTGATAGTAACATTATCACGTAGGTGCGACTATGATGCCATATAACAAAGCCAAGTCTATCCATTAATTGTGCAAATGAACACAGTTTAGTGTAACCCAAGCGTCCAGTAGTTGTCTAAACGCATTCTAATGGAGGTACTGTTTGTAGTGGGTGCATGCTGGCTTACAGTCACGTGTAACTAAAGTATATCTACCTGTAGGTCTTGATTTGATGAAGATATTGAACGAAAGCTCTATCACTAGCCGTGTGTGTGAAGGCACCTGCAACAAATGAGTGTTGTTTCGACGTGTTGAACAAAACCATTGTTAGTGGGTGGTATATAAAGTCACCTGTACA